TAAAATCACTCTGAACCTTACACACTTTCATGTTACATAGAATAAAGTGAATACAGTTAATATTTGTAGTACAGAAAAAAAGCAGCACAGATTCAGAAAAATATTCGTGTTAAGAGTCTGAAATGCAGTACAACGCTGCTAGAAAACTGATAATTCTGTAACCCAAACTTGCAAACACTATTTGAGAAGTTTAGACCTTCCATCTTCTTACAAAAAAACAATTTTAATGAAGTGTCATAAATCTTCAATAACTCATTCAAGATTAAGCAAAATTTTAATCAATGGAAGAAAATATTCTTATTATTGAATTAAGGATCCCTAGTGGCACAGTAGTTAAAGTAAAGCCCTTGACTGCTAACCAGGCAGTCAGTGGTTCAAAAGCATCAGCTGATTAGCAGGAAGAAGACAAGGCAGTAAGCTTCCTTAACAGTTACAGTCTTGGAGACCCTAAGGGGCACTTCCACTCCTCCTACAGCAGTCACTTGAGTCAGAAGTGACTGACAACAATGGGTTTGGTTTGCTTTACGGATTTCCACTCCCTCCTCCCATCCTGTTCTTGCCCCATTTTTCTTGAGTCCTAGTGTGGCACTGTGGGATAAAGCACTAGGTTGCAAAGTTGGTTTGAAGCACAAAGTTGGTGGTTCAAATTCACCAGCTGATCTTTGGAAACGCTATGCAGGGTCGCTATGAGTTGGAACTGACTTGAAGGCACTTCACAACACAACAACTCAAGAGGAGTCCTGGTGGTATAGTGGTTAAAGTGAGCAGAAGCTAACTAAAAGGTTGTCAGTTTGAACTCACCAACCACCAGTGGGAAACAGATGTGTCTGCTTCCATTACAATTATAGTGTTGGCTCAGTTTTCATCCAAACAATAAGAGCCCTAGAGGGATAATCGGCCAGACTGTATGGAGAACATGGCATCAGGATTGGAGGAAGGCTCATTAGCAGTATGCAGATGATCCCTTGCTTGCTGAAAGCAAAGAGGGTTTAAAATACTGAGAGAGGATCCTCAATGTAAAGAAAACAAAATCCTCACCACTGGACCAATAAATATCGTTATGAGAAATGGTGAAAAGATTGAAGCTGTCAATGACTTCACTTTGCTTAAATCCATCATCAACACTCATGGAAGCAGCAGTCAAGAAATCAAACGATGTATTGCATTAGGCAAATGTGCTGTACAAGACCTTTTTAAATTGTTCAAGAACAAAATATCAGTTTGAGGACTAAAGTCTGCCTGACCTAAACCATGGTATTTCAATAAGCCTCATATGCATGTGAAAGCTGGACAGTGAATCAGATAGACCTTAGAAGAACTGATACATTCGAGTTATGACATTAAATAAGAATATTAAAGGTACCACGGACTGCTAGAAAAACAAACAAATCTGTGTTAGAAGAAGTACAGCCAGAATGCTCCTTAGAATCCAAGATGGCAAAACTTCATCTCTTATACTTTGGACATATTATCAGAAGGAACCAGTTCCTGGAAAAAGAACATCATGCTCGGTAAAGTGGAGACTCCCAACAAGATGGGTTAGCACAGTGACAGCAGCAATGAGCTCAAATGCAGCAGCAATTGTGAGAATGGAGCAGGACCTGACAATGATTCTTGTACAGAATTTGTACAGAATGAGTGGGAGGAAACCCACTGGAAGATACTTAACAACAATAACAATAAAGGGAACAACAGTGCAAGTAAGGTATTCACACTTTAGAATAATCAAGCCTCTGAGATCAAAAGGGCAGCATTTACCCAAGGACACAATTGTGAAGGGTTAAGAAAGAAAAAAATTCAAGCCTCGAGTTTCCTTATTGAAGGATTCTCTGGGCAAATGATTGAATGATGCAAAAAGCATCAAGAGAAGATGGAAGGAATACACAGAGTCACTGTACCAATAGGAAATGGTTGATAATTCAACCATTTCAAGAGGAAGCATAAGATCAAGAACCAATGATACTGAAGGAGGAAGTCCAAGGTGCATTGAAGGAACTGGCAAAGAACAAAGCTCCAGAAATTGATGGAATAAAAATTGAAATATTTCAAGAAAGTGAGGCAGCATAGGAGGCACTCACTCATCTATGCCAAGAAATTTGGAAGACAACTATATGGCTGACTGATGGGAAGAAATCCAAATCTGTGCCCATTCCAAAGAAAGGTGACCCAGCGGAATGCAGAAATCATCAGACAATCTCTTTGATATCCCATGTGAGAAAAGCTTTACTAAAGGTAATACAGAAACGGCTACAAGCATACATGAGAGAGAACTTCCAGAGGTTCAAGCTGGATTCAGAAGAGGCCATGGAACAAGGGATATCATTGCTGATGTCCGATGGATCTTGGCTGAAAGCAGAGAATAGCAGAAAGATGTTAACTTGTGCTTTATTGACTATGCAAAGGCTTTCAATTGTGTGGATCATGATAAGCTATGGATAACATTGCAAAGTTTGACAATTCCTGAACACTTAATTGTGCTCATGAGGGATCTGTACATGGACCAAGAGATAGTAGTTGTTCCAACAGAACATGGGAACACTGAATGGTTTAAAATTAAGAAAGGTGTGTGACAGGGTTGCATTCTTTCATCATACTTATTCAACCTGTATGCTGAGCAAATTATCTGAGAAGCTGGGTTATATGAAGAAAAACATGACATCAAGTTTGGAGGAAGACTCATTAACAACCTGCGATATGCAGATGATACAACCTTGTTTGCTGAAAGTAAAGAGGACTTAAAATATTTACTGATGAAGATCAAAGACCACAGCCTTTGGTATGGATTGCATCTCAATGTAAAGAAAACAAAAATCCTCACCAATGGACCAATAAACAACATTCTTATCAACAGAGAAAAGATTGAAGTTGTCAAGGACTTCATTCTTCTTAGATCAACTATCAACACTCATGGTAGCAGCAGTCAAGAAATCAAAAGACATATTGCATTAGGCAAATGTGCTGCAAAAGACCTTTTTAAAGTGTCAAAGAGCAAAGATGTCAGCTTGAAGACTAAGGTGCGCCTGAACCAAGCTATGGTATTTTCAATAACCTCATATGCATACAAAAGCTGGACAGTGAATAAGGAAAACCGTAGAAGAATTGATGCTTTTGAGTTATGGTGTTGGAGGAGAATATTGAAAGTGCCATGGGCTGCCAAAAGAGCCAACAGATCTGTGTTGGAAGAAGTGTTGCCAGAGTGCTCCTTGGAGGCCAGGATGGCCAAACTTCGTTTTTCATACTTCGGACATATTGTCAGGAGGGAACAGTCACTGGAGAAGGATATCATGTTTGGTAAGGTGGAGGGTCAGAGAAAAAGAGGAAGACCCCCAGCGAGATGGATTGGCAAAGTGGCAGCATCAATGGGCTCAAGTGTGGCAACAATTGTGAGGTTGGCCCAGGACCAGACAGTGTTTCATTCTGTTGTGTTATGAGTCAGTACAGACTCAATGGCACCTAACAACAACAAGAAGAAAGAAGGAATGGAAACAGGAAGCACAAGGAGGAAATTGGATAAGTGATGTTACATAGTGGTGATAGCAATCAGTGTCAGGAAAAGAAAATGTATATGAATTGTTGAATTTAAAACTGATGATCTGCTCTGTAAAATTTCACTCAAATCACTACAAAAAGCCAAAAATTAGGCAAAAGCCAAAAATAAACTGATGCCTAGAGAGATCAAGTATCCAAGGAGTAAATGGGATGAAGTGATGTTACAGTGAGGAGGAGACAGCAATCAATGAGATGAAATAAAATGTAAAATTGATGATCTGTTCTGTAAGCCTTCACCCAATTCATAATAAAAAGCTTTAAAAAATATATTTACATAGTCTTAGTAAAAGACAGTTTAATTCTATTCTATAGTTGCCATGAATCAGAATGAATTCAGGGCAACAAGTTGGTGCTTTTTAAAAAAATGTTGGATTACATAGTTTTCCATATATGTTACTGCATTTTAGGAGTTTGCAGTCAAAATGGATCAGGAACTCCCTTTAGTTTCATGAAAGATACCCAGGTATTATTCCTCTTCCTTATCTATTTCTCTTCAATTACTGTTAATATTTAAGAAATAGTTCCCTAGCAATAGCTAGCACTATTTGAGGAATTTATAAGTTGAGTTTCACCATGTTCAGAGAGATGCTTCCTTGGCATGGATACTTGCTACCCATTTCTAGAAATTTCTATCTGGCCCCTTTAATCCTCCATGCTTTTCTATTCCAGTAAGAGAATAGAAATTCAGGTTCTACTGATTTCCTGTTTATGCCATAAAAAGCTAATGAGAAACTCACACTGGAATAATCTAACCCTTTCTATTGTCTCCCTTGAATCTGAATTGTGAGAGGCTGTTTGCTAGGGAGACTCTTTCAAATGTAGATCTTTGTGCCTTTTGTATTTCCAACTCTAATCTATGAGAAAGAGTCATAGGAAATGTACCCATTTAGTTGTTTAGCATTAAAACAAAACAAAAAACAACATTCTTCATTCTTCTCATCAGCGAAAAGCAGGAGCCTGAATATTGATATTCTCACACTACATGATCTGAAAATATTAAAACATATATTTTCAGTATAGGGTTAACATAAGAAGAAAAAGATAAGAGTCTATCCTTTCAAAGAGTCTCTGATTTCATTTGGAAATTTAAAAAAAATTTGGGCTCTTGGATTTTCTTCTAAGAAAAGAAGAACATTTTCTTTTTCTTTTGCCTTTTCTAATTTGCCTTTGTGTTCTTGACCTAAGAATTTGTATTTGATTACATTATCAGAGAGAATAATAAACCTAAATTGATGACTGACAGTTGAACAGACTGGGCAGGAATATTTCACCACTGAAATCCTGGACAGATTTCTAAGGGCTCTTTTTAAAAGTGGGTTTCATAAATAGCCAGCACATTGAGGGTTTAATTATGAAATCAGAACGCGGATTCATGGACCCTCTTTTCAAAATCCAACAACCTCTTCATTCTCAGGCTCAGTGTCTTAGAGAGTGCGATCACATGAACTTACCTTGGTTATTTCCCAGTCTTCCTTCAACTTTTCCATGGCAGTTAAGTCCGGAGTAGACTTGGGCATATTTGAGGTGAGCAGGCTAATGAGACAAGTCTCTGTCTCCAGCTTAGCAGATTCAAGCCTGTTTTCCACATCTTTTTGTTTACACCTAAGTGCTGTTATATCATCCTTAATCGTCTTCTGCCCCACTGAAGATGTATTTTGCTTGATGGATTCTGCTAAAGCTTCAATCTCCTCTAATGTACCGTCTTGTAAACTGAGTCTATTCTGTAGTTCCTGTGAGTTGGAGAAAATATTGTCACAAAAAAGTATCTTCATTCAATTGTCACTAGAGTTAACTGAATTTTGTAAATCACAGCAAGCTCTGTTTCACTAAAGGAAAGCATAAAACAAAAACTCAACTACTAGCTCATAACATAAACATGAAAACCTAGGCAAACTCTAACCCAATGCAGTGTCCCTGGTGGAATTCTTGAATTGATTTTGTTAGAGGCTAGAAGTTCACAAGCAATGCAAAAAAACTTTCAGAGTAACATAGGAAGCAATCAATACATTAAATAAATATTTTGTTTAATAGAAAACCTTTTAAACCATCAAAACATTAAATCATAAGTTCCTACTATGTGCAAAGTATTGAAAAGAGTAAGTCACTTGGAAGATGTCTACATGAATCAATTGTTAGTTTTTAACATTGTATTGTAATACTTTTAACTTTAAAAGTTATTGAAGGTGATGAAAAATCAATCTCTCTAGTGTAATATACTGAGTCCTGGTGTGGCGCTGTAGGATAAGCACTGGACTGTAAGGTCAGTTTGAACTGCAAAGTCTGCGGTTCAAATTTACAAGGAGCTCCTTGAAAACCCAAAAACAGACTCGCTATGAGTCAGAACCAACTCTATGGCACTGAACAACAATAGTGTCATATAAAGTAGTGTATAAAGTACTGTGTCCCAGAGTTGGTTCCAACTCATAGTGACCCTGTGCAGGGATTCCGAGACTGCAAATCTTTTTATGACAGTAGTAAGTCTCATCTTTCTCCCAAGATCATTAACCAATGTTTACTAAATGCATGAATGGATAAAACTAAATTGAGAACTCTGGACTCAAAATGAATTTGAGGCAATACAATTACTACTGATGTTCCTATTTACATAGCATAGGTCTTGAAGTTACTAGGTATGATTGTTGTTGTTGTTGTTGCTGTTGTTGTTAAGTGCTGTGGAGTCAGTTCCGACTCAGTGATTCTGTATAGGGTTTCCAAGGAGCAGCTATTAGGTTTGAAGCACTGACCTTGTAGTTCAAACAGACACTGTGGTCTGTGCTTATCCTACAATGCCACACCAGGACTACGTAGGATTTATTAGTCACTGTCCTAATAATTTTTTGGATTTTGGGTCCTAATTAGAGAGTTCTGGGTTGTAAAAACAGTTAATGACCTAGGCTGCTAATTCAAGTCTACCCTGAGGAGCCTTAGAAGAGACCTAGAAATATACTGCTGGAAAATCAGCCATTGGAAATCCTACGAACAGCTCTAACCCTGACATACATGAAATTGATATGAATCAGAGATGACTGGCTCCTAATGGGACTGCACAATAAATCAATGTTCACTCATTCAGCTAACTACCAGTGCTATGCAAATCTTGAAGTCAGAGATGACTAAAATATACTGTTTTCAAGTGTGTATTGTTGTTAAGTGCCTTTGATTCAGTTCCAAATCATAGCAACCCTGGAGCTGTAGGATCAGCACTGGACTGCAAACCCCAAGGTCAGCAGTTCAAACTCACCAGCTATTCCTTGAAAACCCTATATAGCATCACATCACTATGAGTTGGAACAAACTCTCGGCACTTAATAACAACAAATATGGTCTCTATTGGGATAGAAACAAGAGCAGACAATTATAATTTAAAAAATGTTCTATGCTGAGAAATATGCACAGATTATAATCTAAGGCAAAGGAGCCCTGACAGTAAAGTGGGTTACAGGTTGGGCTGCTAACCAATGGGTCCGCAATTTGAATCCACCAGCTATACCACAGGAGAAAGATGAGGCTTTCTGCTCTCATGAACATTTACATCTTGGAAACCCTACACGGATTCACTATGAGTTGGAAACAACTAGGCAGTAACATAACCTATGGCAAGCGGCAAACATTAGTCCAGGCATGGGAAGGTGGCTTGTCAGAAAGGTTTCTGGAGGAGGTAACACCTGAGCTGAGTATTAAAGGATAAAGAGAAGTTAGCCAGGTGACGAAAGGGCAGGAGGAACAAACATAAGTTCCACACTGGAGTCCTGGTGTGGCACTGTGAGATAAAGCACTGGACCGCAAGGTCAGCAATTCAAACTCACCAGCCACTCATTGGAAACCTTATACAGGTTTGCTATGAGTCGGAACTGACTCAACAGCACCTAACAACAGAAGAAATCTAAAAAAAGGTGACAAGGCATACAGGGCTTTAAGGAAATTATAAAATGGATTCAGCCCAGTTGCAACTAACACCTTGAAAACCCAAGGTATTAAAAAAATATATCTATCATGTCTGGAAACTGTTTTAGTACCTGTATTTTCTGCTGTTTTTCCTCGATTGCTCTTTGGTCCACAGGCTTATCAGAGAAAGTTAAAAGTTCCTTGGAGACATTGTCCAATGTGGTATTCAGGTCTGTGACACAAACTTGGTATGAGTGGTGTTCTTGAACATGACCTTCCAATTTCTGCACAGAATCCTAAAATAAAACCATTGACAATTTATAAATTTCTCTCAGAAAATGATTAATTTTTTTTTTATAAATACTTTTTTATGAGGTTGCATCTTGAAACAGGAATATGCCCAAGAACTGTCTAGAATTCTTAAGATTTAACATTTGAGAAATTTTATTGTAAGCGAATGACTTATTGAAATAACATTTGCCGCTTCTATGCTTCTCTGCCTTCATTTTATTTCTGAAAACACTATCATGAGGATGTCAAAACGAAATGACTGCAAATTATATCATCAAATCACAAACATTCATACTAAAGCAGCTTCCTTAATTACTCAAGTATCCACACTTGGGAATGAGACTTTATAAAATCAATCTAACCTCAGATCACTTTCCTAAGTTTCAAACTTCAGAGTTAGTTGCCAGGAAGAAGTGGTCCTAATTCAAGTACTGTGGCTTCTCCAGGATCTTTCCCTGGGACTAATAACAACAACAACAACAACAACAACAATAATACGGTCATATCTGATCAGAAAAGTAAGAATTATTTGTCAGAATGTTCCTTAGAAGTGAGGATTATTTTGTCTCAGGTACTTTGAACATTTTATCAGAAGGGACCACTTGCTCGAGAAGGGCATCAGGCTTGGTAAAGGAGAGGGCCAGAGAAAAAGAATGGACTGATTTAGTGGCTCCAACAAAGAGCTCAAAGATAGGAAAGATTGTGAGCATGGCAAAGATTGTGAGGAGGCAGTCTTTTGTGCTCTTGTATAAGGGAACTTCAAACAGTTTGTGGAAAAATGGAATGAAAAGAAAATGGTATTTTTCCATCAACTTTTGAAGCCCCCTTGTGCACAGGGTCGTTATGAATTGGAACTGATTGGACAGCAGCATCTAATAACAACAACAATATCTATGTCTTTTATCCTATATGGGAACAGGGCTTTCTTTGTTATATTAATCGATCATCTAGACAATGGTTGGGTTCTAAATCTCATCACCTTTGAGTTATAAAAATATCAGGATGGACACAAAGGAACATATAGGAAGAAGAAGAAAACAGCTGGCATAGATGAACTCTTCTTTAAAGACAGACATTTGTGGTATTTGTGTTCTAGCAGTACCAGGTAACTAACACACTATTATAGTACTCAATTTACAGCCAAGCAAATTTATTACTCAGATAATCCTTACATTGAATCTGGCTTCCCATATACTGCAAAGAACTAAAAATGATTTTCTCAAGAGAATACACTCTTAAAAGAAAAGTTGAACATTTTATTTGATGCAGTTCATGTACAGAGACCCTCAAAAAGGGATTCAGATCAGAAGACGAATACAAAATAATATAAATGATTACACTAGAGAGGTAAAAGATGAATAATAGATGGATAGATAACTTTGACACTGCCACTTTCTTAATGATACCTAAAAAAATCTTAATCCTTCTTATTGCTGAAAACAAACTCTGAGGAGAGGAAATAGCACCATCATCAAATTATACAAAATGTGGTCCTCTACTAGACTGGATTAATCTCTTCGTTCTTGAGGATTTAACATCTAAATAGAAACATGACCAATGAAATTGAAAAACTTTTTGGTCTACAGAAAAAGAACAAAAACCAGTTCCATAGGCAAAATGTTCATATACAAAATGAAGACAATCACTGACATTTTCCTTTTGTTCACTTCACCTGTAGTTGTTGAAGGAGACTTTCGTGGAGATGCTTTATTTCCATCCAAGGTTCTTCACTAAAGTTGGGGTTTTTAGTGCACTCCAAGAGGTAATTTCCTTGGGATTTTAACTCCTTTAGCAATGATGTCAAATCTTGAGCTTTCTGAAGGAATTTTTTATAATTTTTTAACTGAGCTTTCTTCTCCTGCAAACCATTTTGTAGCACAAAGCCCGCTTCTTGCTTCTTCCTTAGTTCTGTAAGCATTAACCTCAGAGCCTCCTTACTTTGCAAATACTTCTCTCCTTCTAGCAGAAGTTTTTCTTGATGGCTAAATTTAACAAGATACTTTCTAGGTGAAATGACACTTAACAAAATGAAACGTTATTTTTCATATTATAATGTAACATGCATTATAATAAAAAACAGTAACATAAGCTGATGTATATGACTCCCAGAAACTCTTCTGGCACTCTCAGTTTATAATCAGCACTCAATTTAACTAAGCCTTTAGGACAGAAATCATTTGCAGGATCACTTAAAAACAATTGCTTTTGTTACATAAAATTTGAACTGAGAATACTAATAATTTAAATGATAAACAAGTCCCAATAGTTCCTGTTTTAAATACATAATTATCCTATATTTTACATATCCATGTAATTAAAATAAGCTAAAACTCAGTGCATTGGCCAACTAGCTAGTTTTGTTTTCTATAGTAGCGTAGTGGTTACGAATTGGGCTGCGAAGCTTAAGGTCAGCGGTTCGAAACTACCAGCCGCTCCGCGGGAGAAAGATGAGGCTTTCTACTCCCATAAAGATTTACACCCTCGGAAACCCTGTACAGGGTCGCTATGGATAGGAACCGACTCAACGGCATTTAACAACAACAACATAGACTAAATGAAGCTTTTAATAACTCCTTGCGAAAATGCAAAGGTCAGATTTCCACTGAACATTAACTATATCACTTAAAACATGTGAGATGAATTAAGAATTTTCACAAGGATAATGTAAATCAAGTCAGCCAGCAATTATCAGTGTTTAGACATATAAGAATTGGTTAAAATGTGTAGGAAAGGCATTAAATGACTCTGTAGAGATACCAAGTGATGTACTGAGATTGTTTGGGGAAATGGAGTTTTGGGGGCAGAAGCAGGGGATTGGCTGTGGTTGATCTGTTACAAAGACCCCCCTAGGTGATGTACAAGCTAAACACTGCCACAAGCATGAGAGAATCATTTCATATCTTGTCTGGAGAAATATCCTTCTTCATTTCTGCCTCTGACCTTGCGGATGTCCCTGACATTGCTGACTTCCTCTCCAACAGATATTAAATCCAAACCCAGGAGGCAGACAAACATCCTTGTTATGGCTTCACTGCACAATTAAAAATGAAGCATGCTCTTTACCTTAGATACGTGTTGGCTAACTGGAGTGTGTTGTCCCACTGATTCCTGATATCAGTAAGAGTCTTCTGGGCCATGGGAATTTTGCTGCTCTCAGCCTGCCTCATGATGGTCTGTATTTTAGCGTCCCCTTCAGGCTTCAGTAAAATGATTTCCTGGATTAAATATGAAAAATTGTAAACTTTGGAATAGTACTGAGGAGTATTACATATTTATTTTTGGTTGTAAATTTTATATTGAGATGCTAGCTATGTATTTTAAACAAACCTTTCACTGTTGCATATACTATTTTTGTTATACAAAGTTAGTTCTCAGTCTTAATACTTTTCAGCTTAACCTGAGTTCATTACTGCTCTCCCTTTGATTTTTGCCTACAAGTAAACTCTGTTCTAATAGAGAGCTAGAAAATACTCCGTTCTTCCACTCCAATATTTATGAGAAGGGTTAATGTGCTGGACTGAAAGGTCAGTTTGAACTGTAAAATCAGCAGTTCAATCTCACCAGCTGCTCCTAGGAAACCCTATACAGGGTCTCTATGAGTCAGAACCAACAAGTTAGCAATATAAAGGCTTTTTTTTTTACAGTCCAGACTGGCCTATGGCTTCTCATAGGAAAATGCAGGCTCTCCCAGGTCAGCTCTCATCTCTCTACTATAACATGAATTCCCTTCCTGTGCCCAACAATCAAGTTCTTCTCTTCCCGGAAACACTACTCAACATACCCTGTTTCTAGGAAACATTACTTCATTATGTCTCATTACAATGCTCACTATTCTTCCTGATTTCTTCCTCTGAATCTTTATGTGTTTTTGATTCTCTTGGAGTACCTTTTCAGTGCAGGTGGGGGGTGTGGTGGTGGTGTATGTGTGTGTGTGTTTTTAACCAGCAGTATCTATTTAATTTCCCCTTAGACTGAAAGTGAGCTCAAAGGAGCTGAAGTCTTCTCAATATCTAATAGTCCTCAGCCATCTACTCAGTATCTAACAAGCTTCATGACCCACTCACATCCACTCTGGAAAGAAGTCCTCACCAGCCTGCCCTTAACATTGTTGATATCACTGCTAAAATGAGATATACTGTATTCCTTGCAAACAGTGTGCCGATGTAAGTAATGTGTACACATATCTAACCTGTGGAAATGGCAAAGATATGTAAACATGTTCTAGCTTAGCATATCCACACATCTTGTGACTTTTCCAGAAACTAATTTTGGCCTCATTCACCTTCATTTAGTAGTCTGAAAATGTTACTCTTGATCATATTTGTATGATAAAGGTATAAGCTATTGACAGGAAACCATGGATCAAGTTTGGCTGTACCCAGGTAATATGAAAAAAGAAAACTGGAACTGTGTGTTTGCTCTGGGGCAATCTGCAGCAGGCCTGACAAGGCGCCCAGGTATGTCAAGGCTGAAGAGGGGCAGAGGGGCAGGCAGAGGGGTGGCATGATGGGCTGCCAGGGTGTACAAACTCATGCAATTCCTGGGTGGGGGCCGGCTGCCCTGCTGAAGGCTGTTTCTAAGGCTGAAAAAATGATTTCTTTCTGCACAGCAGAAAACGGTTTGCAGAGCAGGAAAGGAAAGCTGCTGGGAGAGGAGCTTCTTAAAATCGAGGGCAGGCTGGTGAGGGTCTGCTGCATGGGACATGAAATTCGATAAACAGAAAAAAAATTAAAATTAAAGTCAACAACATGCAAAAAATAGTGGTATTGTACACTTAGGAAAATAATATGCAGGAGGTTGCATGGCACACAAAAGTGTATAATGCACAATTTGGGTGAAAATAAGGCATTCTTTTTATATCTGAGCAAAGTCTGACCAGTTGCAGTTCCAATTTTTCATCTTTATTTCAATTTTTCTGCACTCACTGAAGACTGACAACTAGGTATTGCGCTCTCTAAGGCAGTAGATGTACTTTTTCTCTTTCAAAAATCATTAAGACCGTCTTAGATCCATCTCAATCCTTCTCTTTTATAAACTGAGTGATCTGAATTCCTTGAGCCTTTCCACAGATCCTGTTTTCCATTAAGAGACAAATCTTTGCAGCTTTCCTCTAAAACCTTTTCAAAATTATGGTTCACTCAAACTTAGAAATGTAGTTACCTTTATTTTTTGGATTCGTTCTTCAAGTGGCATTTTGCCTTCAGATGAATTCAAAACCATAAGGGATTCTTTGCTCTCTGTTATCCAATGAATTACATCATGAGCAAGATCATTAAAGCTCTGATCCTCAGTAGGATGTAATTTTTCTTCTTCCTCACTTTCACATAATTGTCTCAATAATGTTTGGTATCTATCAAGCAAATGTGTTGATTCAGCTATTATCTCTTCTTCTTCACTAAGCCCATATTCCTTCAAAGAGTTGTTCAACTGGGCTAGAGATGCAAATTGTTCCCTGTGAATTTGAAATATCATTGAATATATACAGGAGATATTACATTATACAGGAAAATAAAGAAATGCATACTCTCCGGAAACACTCTCCACAAAAGATCAGCTGTACCTCTTTCTGTCTATTGCTTGACAAGAAAACTCAATTTTCTCATTTGATTCTTCCAGTTCTTTCCATTTCTCTTCTTGATTAGTCAGCCAATTACTCAGGTTTCTGTGGTCATCCTGGAGCCTGAATGAAAATTACACAAGTAAGAATACAAAATAAGCAAAAAGTATAAAACATGTATATCATGGAATTCTTTTATAATATGCTGGCACTGAAGGGAAGGTTGACCTGAGCCTTCTGACCCAACTAGGTTTGAACTCTGTATACATTTGTTATTATTGAGAAAAAAAAAGTAACTTCTAAATACACCAAAATTTGAATTATTGTAGCCTTTATTATACTATGATTGTATCATAGTAGAACAATGAGCCATAAAAACAAACCAAATTATCATTTATTAAATAATCTGAAGAACTCGCCTAATGTGGTTGGATTCCTAAAGTTTAACCGGACTGAAGGTATCAGAAATTTCAGTTATGAAATGTGTGCACACTGTGCTGTACTGAAGCAGGGCCCATATGAAGAAATTGTTAGACAACATGATTTTTACACAATGCCTGTATTACCTACCTCAGTAGCTGCTGTAAGCTGTCATCAAGCTCCTTTGCTCGTGCCTGGCATATGGACTCCATATTTTCTAATTCAAATTCTTGACTCGTGATCCAACTGCTAAGATCCTTAACATTTGCTTTGGGTAGATGCTTCTTCACCTGATTCAAGACAGTTTCTACTTGCTGTATTTTACTGTTTCTTCCTTCCAGAGTCAAGAAATCCTTAAGAAAAACAAAAAGCCAAATTATATTTTACTGGCAGGTATGTTCTCTGCCATGCACATGATTATTGTCCAATCAATACCTGAAAAGGGCTGTGAATATGTGCCTAAATCCCATGGCAAATGATCAAGAAAGTATTTATATCAGTTCTACAAGTACGGGACATTTGCATTTCTGTCTGATTTTCTGGGAATTACATTAAGCAAAGTAATGTAGTGCTCCAGTGGAGGACAATAGCAGCAAAGTCAGGAGAGCTGCATTTTCCAAACCTAGCTAGGCTCAAGTTCTCCTAAATACTAGCTCCTTTGTGGGTAATCAAATATATATATATATATATATAGTAGGTGGCTGTGTTCTGTGTGCATGTGGTGTGGCACTATAGGATAAGCACTGGACTGCTGACCACAAGGTCGACATCTCAAACTCACTAGCCACTTGAGGAAACACTATATGAGGTTGCTATGAGTTGAAACTGACTCAACAGCACTTAAAAACAACATATACACAACAGATATGATTGTGAACACAACAGAATTAATCACAAAATTAGATAGCATCTATTCTAGAATGGGTCCTGGTGTGGCACTGTACGAAAAGCACTTGAACACAAGGT